TACTCACTGAGCACACTGGGGCTTTCTAGGATGCATTCAAGGACCTGAATAAGTTGGCTGAGGATCTGCTCTCCAGCGGGACTTTCAATGTTGACCAGATTGAGGAGAAAAGGGATAGTGTCAACAAGCGCTTCCTGGATGTCCAGGACCTGGCAGCTGCTCACCATGAAAAACTGAAAGAGGCCTATGCCTTGTTCCAGTTCTTCCAGGACCTAGATGATGAGGATTCCTGGATAGTGTATGTATACCAACTCACAGTGTGTGGATAATCCAGCGAGTAGATAATTCACCACATTTATTCCAATATATGCCGAAATGAAATATTCAATTGTTTCTTGAGTTTGATATTACTGCTTCATGCTTGTCTCAGCCTAAAATTAACATTGGTTTTATTTTTTCTAAATTGCCTCACTGGTTGCAGCAAGAAAGAAACAGATGTGGAGGAAGTCAGGAGGGGTTCACATACATGCAGGAAACAATCAAGAAGCCACATATGTTTGTTCTAGATAGTTCATAGAATGATGTAATACTCACTGAGACAACTGGGTATTTACAGCTTACCCAGCTGATCAGATTATTGTCATTATTTTTTCTATATCCAGTGTATCCCATATGGCACTAAATTGGACACAAGACAGATAACATTACAGAGTATCTGCCATGGTTTCAATACTAATTCTATTTTTGTTGTAAAAATATGATTGATGAAATCTTAGCAAATTAATTATTTTCCCATCTTTCCAATTATCCTGCTTTGTTATGTTTTTTCTTCTATAAATCTGTTCATTATTATGAGAAATCAATGAATTGGTATATCTAGGACAACAAATAAGACATTTTAAAAACCTTTTTAGTAGTCATAAGATGGAATAATCTTGTCTGTGTAGTCTTTGACTATGTTTCATGGTAATATTCCAATATTTTACACTCAGAAGCATCTCCTCTGCCATGACTCCTATAATATCAGCTTTTTATAACCATTTTAGATTAATTTATTACTGATATTAATAGAGAAAAATAATAAAAACCATGAAGGTTATACACAATTTTCACTTTTTTAGAAAAAGAAAGACATTAGTATATATTCTGGATCAAAAAAAGAGAAGATACACAGGTGGCCAGGTAAAGGAACTAAAGGGAAGGCGGTTACAGCTGTGCATAGGGTGATCAAAATGTTATTTTCATTTGTATTGACATAAGTCAGAAGCTTTTCTGAAAGCCTCTGCCACTAATTATCTTTTTGGCTATTAGCACCCGGGTGTTCCAAAATTTATGACTTCCCCTACTCCCAGTCACACACACGTTCTTAAAAAGCCATCGCTCTAGGGTACCTCAGATATCTAAACTCCAAATCTCTGTTTTCTTCCTTGGTCCCAGGGAGAAGTTAATACGAGTGAGTTCCCAGGACTATGGCAGGGATCTGCAGGGTGTTGAGAACCTACTGAAGAAGCACAGACGCCTAGAGGAGGAGTTAGGGGCACATGAGCCTGCCATCCAGGTACGAATAGAATGTAAGACCTGCAAAGACAGAAATTAATATTAGCCCCTCATGTTACAGATAAACAATAGAGCACTACAAAGTGTGAAAGTAGATGGCCAGATTATAGAGACTCACAGAACTCACAAGTGTTCCTTTCTCTTGCACATTTATCTCCTATAAATAGAATAATCCTGGACAGGAACCCATGCTCTTCCCTGGAAGGAGTACTTCGAGACTCCTGGGCAGTTACTGATAATTGGGATACAGGTTGAGACATCTAACAAAGCTGTACTTGAACCACATGGGAAGAAGGCAACTCTGGGTCTGACCTGGCAGCAGGATCACCTTGTGACCATGAATGAAGAATCTATAAAGCAGATCATGCAGAGTATTCTAGTGCAAGTGCTGGGATATTTGCAAGGATATTTGGGAACGTTTGGCATTGTAGATCTTGCTGCCACTTTCATCATTCACCCAGGATTCGGGATCATCCCAAGTCCCATGGAGTTTTTAAATGAACTGGAATGTTGTAAGAGCTAGATACCTTATCAGAGGACTGGGCTAAAGGTGGGGTAATGTGACATGGACGGGGTGTGTTTTTCAGAATGTGCTGGACATGGCAGAGAGGCTAAAAGACAAGGCTGCTGTGGGGCAAGAGGAGATCCAGTTGCGACTGGCTCAGTTTGTTCAGCACTGGGAGCAGCTCAAAGAGTTGGCCAAGTCTCGGTGAGTGGGAAATGCAAAGCCCCATCCCCTTCCGGGATTTTGGGTATTAGTCTGGTGTTGGTAGGACACCTAAGTGCCTGCTTAGTGTGGACTGCTCTCCCCAACTACCCATCTGTCTCCTATGTTCCTGCTCAAATGCCAAATCCACCATGAAGCTGTCTTCCACCTACCTCAGGCACAGTGATGGTTGCCTTTGTTCTAAAGAGGTACAGTGATGATGTCCTCTGTTCTACCTTTCTCCTTCACTTACATGCAGCTGTCTTTATCATTGCTTCTCCTCCATACAAGGTTATTAGCCACATATATGTTATCTTTTATCTCTCCAGTTTTAATATTATACATAGTTCTTAGTAATAAGTGAATTAAGTAGTATTTTCTCTCTTAGAGGCATACAGCCAATTTGAGCCACGTAGCTGTACAGCTAAATATAACAATTTTGCTCTATAATTCCCTGCCTTTTGCCAGTCGGAAGGCATTTCTCCCTGGAGAATAAGAGGGAGTTTCTGGAACTTTGTAGCGCCTTCAGCATACAAAGAAGAAGGCAATACTCAGAGTAGAAAGACACTGACTCACTGCTCATATTCTCCAACCCTGAAGTCTTAGAATTTATTTTTGTTTGGGCAGAGTTTTCTTCAACAAAGTTTCCTAGAGAGGAAATGATGCTACAAGATGAACTTCTAGGACAAGAGTCTTCTCCATTTCACGAGAGATTTGCGCCGTTGACCAGCAGGTGCATATCATATTGTGCTTGGGCCAGTTCAGCTGTGGCTGCCTTAGAATAAGCTGGTCTGCTTGGATGAGATTGCACCACCCTGCTGTGCTACTGCTGCTTGTTGCTTTGTTCTTATTCTTATTGGGGCTTACCACCCTGCTGTAGAGGGCTTCAGTTGGAAGAGTCCCTAGAATACTTGTAATTCATGGAGAACGCTGAGGAAGAGGGAGCTTGGATCAGTGAAAAGGAAGCCATGGCTGTCCGAGGGGATTCTGGAGACACACTGGCTGCTACTCAGGTGAGAAACAGGCAGAATGGATTCATTTTCCTTTCTCTAATTTGGATTTTTTATTAAGTAATCAGTGTTTTCACCTGTAAAATTAGAATCTTTCTTCTGGTAGGAGGGGAAAATGAGGAAAATATGGATAATTCTGTCAGTTTTAATGATGAAAATTTAAGATCTGCAGATGTAAGTGTGACTTGTCTGAGGTCGTGGAACTGATCAGGTGTGAAGGGAGGACTTGCGTCTGGATCCCATGATCTGTACCTGTCAATGAGTCAAAAATGTCATGGTTAAAGGCTTTTCCTTATAGGTTACATTTCGTATGGGTTATAGATTTTCTGAAGATTCCCTCAAATATCAATGTTACATTGATTTAAAAAGTAAATTCTTATGTCTGGATGTTGGTTGCAATTTCTACAAAATAAAATTTTAAGAGAAAGGCCTACTAGACAGAATAATTCCATAGCTTATACCCTTTAAAATGCAGGATTGTCTTTCCCAACAATGAAATGGACAAGTGCTTAGTGTGATCTTGAGTTAATATGGATTTTTGACAGCTTTTAAGAGAGTGACTACCAAACAATCATGTTCTTTGGGCCTTCAGAACTGTACCTAGTAACTTTAAAAATTGGGAAATTACCAAAATATATTTGTGGAGATTAATTTGCTTTTATGTGACGAAACAAGGAATGACTTAGACTTACTTGCTTGACTGCAATTTGTGCCTTGTAATTAGTAGCACCTCATTATTTTCCTCTCATTAGCCCCTAAGAACTACCATTCCACTCTCTTTGATTCTATGAATCTGACTACATCACATAAGTGGAACCAGGCTGTGTTTATCTTTCTATAACTGACTTATTTCACTTAGCACAATGTTCTCATGGTACATCCACGTTATCACATATTGCAGAATTGTTGCATATCTGTTGATGGACATTCAGGTTGTTTCCACATCTAGGCTACTGTGAATAGTGCTGCAATGGTGCTAATATCTTGTTGAGATCCTGATTTCAGTAGGGTTATTGGATTATGCAGTAGTCCTATTTTCAAAATTTTGAAGAATGTTTATGATGGTTTCCATAGCAGCTGTGCCATTTTGCATTTTCCACTTTGCATTCTTTAATAATATTTGTCTTTTGTTTTTGTTAATATCTATACTGATATCTTATTCTTTTTCAAGATTGAGGTAATATCTTATTCCTTTTCAAGATTGGTTTGGGTATGTTTGGTCTTTTCTGACTTCATATGAATTTTAGAGTTAATTTTTCAATTTCTGTAAAAATAGTCATTGGGACTTTGATAAGGTCTGCATTCAATCTATAGATAAACCTACATAGTATTGACACTTTAACAATATTAATTATTGCAACTTATGAACACATGTCTTTTTATTTGTTTATGTCTTCTGTAATTTTGTTCATCAATTTTATGCAATTTCCGGCATATGAGATTTTCACCTTCTTGGTTAAATGTATTTTTAAACTGTATTTTTTTTTTATAAGATTGTAAAAAGAATTGCATTCTTGACTTCTTTTTCAAATAGTTTATTGTTAGGATATAGATAGGTAACTGATTTTTTTTGTATTGATTTCTATCCTGTAACTTTACTGATTAGTTTATTAGTTCTAACAGTTTTTTATGGAGTCTTTAGACTTTTCTATATATAAGAATACATCATTTGCAAACAAAGACAATTTAACTTTTTTCTTTCTGATTTAGTTGCATCTTATTTATTTTTCTAGCCTTTATTTTTCACTTTTTCTGGTTTGAGATCAAGTAAACTTATCGATGTTATGTACCCTCCTCCTCAGCAGTGTCCTGCTACTAACAATTCCTTTCTTATAGTATTATGATAAATGTCCAGGATCCACTTATGAGTGACTATATGTGATATTCAGATCTTTGTCTGACTAGGATTCCCAGTACCATGTTAAATAGAAGTAGTGTGATTGGACATCCTTGCAGTGTTCCTGATCTTAGAGAAAAATTTTTCAGTTACACACCATTAAATATGATGTTACCTGTGGGCTTTTTATATATGAATTTTATCATGTTGAGGTTATATCCCTCTGTTCCTAGTTTGCTGGTAGATTTTATCATGAAAGGATGCTTACTCTGCATCTATTGATATGATTATTTTTATATTTTATTGTGTTTATATGATGTATCAGATTTATTGATTTGCATATGTCGAACCATCCTTGCACCTCAGGGGTAAATTCTGCTTTTTCATAGTGTATGATTCTTTTAATGTGCTGCTAGATTCAGTTTTCTAGTATTTCAGAGAAGATTTTTGCATCTATACTCATCAAGGATATTAGCCTGTTTTTTGTTTGTTTGTTTCTTGTGGTGTCTTTTTCTAGCTTTAGTAATGCTGGTAGTTATTAAAGGTGTTTAAAAATATTCCCTCCCCTTTCGTTGTTTGGAAGAGTTGAGAAGGATTGACATTAATTATTAAAATGCTTGATTGAATTCACCAGTGAAGCCTTCTAGTCCTGGGTTTTTCTTTGTTGAGAAATTTCTGACTTCTGATTCAATCTCTATATTAATTATAGTACTGTGTAGACTTTCTATTTCCTCATGAGTTAGTCTTGGCAAGTTGTAGGTTTCTAAGAATTTATTCATTTATTCTAGGTTATTTAGTTTGTTGACTACAATAGTTTATAGTAGTTTCTTATTATCCCTTTTATTTCTGTGGCATTGGTTCTAATATACTTTCTATTGTTTCTGAATTCATTATTTGGAAATAGAAAGTGAAGTATCAACAAGACTTTATTTCATGCGGTATATATACAAAAACATGGGTAATTTGGGATTCTAATCTTACACAGTAAATTGCCTTTTCAATATCCATTTACATTTCTACAGAACAATAAAATATAGTACTGTTACAAAAATATTTATTTTTATTTTAAAGATATGGGGTACAATTCAGGATAACTGATCACTGTATGGGTAAAGTTTGGGCCTCCCTTTGATCCCCACTTTTTCTGGTTTGAGATCAAGTAACCTTATCGATGTTATGTACCCTCCTCCTCAGCAGTGTCCTGCTACTAACAATTCCTTTCTTATAGTATTATGATAAATGTCCAGGATCCACTTATGAGTGACTATATGTGATATTCAGATCTTTGTTTCTTTAATAGATCACTGAGAATTATAGGTTCAAAATCTATCCAAGTTGCTGCAAAATTCATAATTTTGTCCTTCTTTATGGCTGCATAATATTCCATCGTGTATATACCACATTTTTTAATCCAGTCCACTTTCAATGCACAGTTGGTTCCACGCTTTTACTATTGTGAATAATGCAGCAATAAACGTATAGAGTAATTTGAATTCTTTTGGGCATATTCCCAGACATGGGATTGCTTGGTCATATGAAAGGTTGATATTTAGATCTTTTAAGAATCTCCATAGTGTTTTCCACAGAGGTTGTACTAGTTTTCATTCCTACCAACAGTGCAGAAGCGTTCCCTTTTCACTGCATCCTCTCCAGCAACTGTTGTTTTTTGAGTTATTGATGATGGCTATCCTGACTGGAATTTGGTGGTATCTCCGTGTGGTTTTAATTTGCATTTCTTTGATGATTAGTGAGGCAGAGCATTTTTTCAGGTATATGTTGGCTACTCGTATATCTTCTTCTGCAAAGTGTCTGTTCATATCTTTTGCCCACTTTTTAATCCAGCTGTTTATTTTTTTCTTTTCAGCACATTTGAGTTCCCTGTAGATCCTGGAAGTTAAGCCTCTGTCAGATATACAGTTGGCAATTTTTTCCCCTTTTTGTAGGCTGTCTCCCCACTCTCTTGATGTTTTCTTTTGCTTTGCGGAAGCTTTTCAGTTTGATGAGGTTCCACTTGTCCATCTTATTTCTTATGGTATGAGCATTAGGGATTTTGCTCAGGAATTGGTTGCCTCTTCCAATTTCTGTAAGGGTACCTCCTGTGTTTTCTAAGATTCTTATAGTTCTAGGTTTTACTTTTAGGTCTTTGATCCATTTAGAGTTTATTTTTGTGTATGGTAATAGGTAGGGATCCTGTTTCAATCGTCTACACGTGGCCAGTCAGTTTTCCCAACATCATTTACTAAATAGGTTTCTCCTCTCCCCAGTGGTTGTTGGTGGAGGCTTTGTCGAAGATGAGTTGGTTGAGAAATTGAGGTTTTGCTTCCAGAATCTCTATTCTGTTCCATTGATCTATATGCGCGTTCTTTTACCAATACCAGTGGATCTTAAAGTCTCGGAATGTGATACTTCCTGATAGCTATAAAATATAATGCAGCCCATCTTGTCTTAAAATGAGTAATCATCTTACTTTAGTGCCTCATAATATCATATATTGAATATTATTTTATTTTTAAACTATGACTTTGAAAAAGGTATATTAATCATAGAAATTCTGTTTCTTTCTTTAACCTGGGTTATTGTGTTGTTTAGAAAAAAAATGATGGGGTGCTTTTGTAATATGACTGAGAGAGGCTAAGGCAGCAGTTAGAGCAGTGGTCATGGAGGGACAGCCATGGTGATGGTGATGGTGATGTGGACTGGTACAGATACTTTTCAGGAAGATACAAAATAAGACAGAGAAATACTACTCTTTATGCTTCATCCTCACTTCTCTTTCCATTCTGCCAGCTACACAGACATCATATTTCCAGAAAGCAATCAAAGGCAGTGAAGACTTGCAGTAATATTTCAAGATAGAAATGTGTTCTCCTTGCTCCCTCTTTAGGTTCACTTCTTAGTTTAGAATGTTCTTGATAGTTAATATTTTTCTGCTGTACACAATTTTTCATGGAATTATATTAATCTCAATATGGAAAAATCC